CCCTCCCCCCCCTCTCTCTCTATCTCTCTCTCTATCTCTCGTCTTTATCTATCTTTGTTCTTTGCATTACCTTGAAGTACGGAAAAGAAACTAAAACGCCGGAAGATCGCTAAAGTGCTTAACTTATATGACACGCGTTTTCCGCATGATCACGTGACAGATGCATGCATGCAAGATTGCGCTTTCGTTGAGAAATACGCGAGCATTCGAATTTAACGTAATTGAAAAGTTTGAAAGAAATGTAATTTACGGGACGAAAACCCATTGGGAAACGAGGATATACAACATGTGTATTTATATTTGAATAAATGGCAAACGTTTCAGGTATTGCCGACTCGAAAAAGTGTCGGCAGAAATCGAACCGTTTGACGGGATTCAATCCTGCAGTCTGTTTTACGTTTTATCTACCGAACGAAATGCAATTTGTGGATGTGACCTCGGCGCAACTTTGGTTTTACAAGGAATACGACGAGAATGACGAACTAAATCAAACTTTCGTGCTTTCCGAACTCGATCATTGGGATTCGAATGGAAACTTTGAAAAAAACACAATCATGGCGATCTTTGAAACCGATATCGGAGGTGGGTAAATTGAAAAGCCTTCGTTTCTTCGGAACATATGCAACGGTGTATAAGTATATACCGTATAAAGATTTCGTCTCCTTCTCGTTCCTTCGCACATATTTCATTTTTTACTATTGCGCGTTATCGGCCGTGAGTTTCTGTGCCGTCTATTTCGTTTGATTTTCGCCACGTGAAGGTGTATTGCAAGGTTATTCGCAAACGAATCGATTCGACCGCTTCTCTTCCTGCCTCTGTCTCGTCATATGTCATCGTGCAAGTCCATTACTTTTCTCACCTTTATTCGCTTTCGATCCTTCTTTCGTACATTCTTTCGTATGTATACGTACATACATACATCCATACATACACACATACATGCATACATACATACATACATACATACATGCATACATACATACATGCATACATGCATACATACATACATACATACATACATACATAAATACACACATACGTACGTACGTACATACATACATACATACATACATACATACATACATACATACATACATACATACATACATACGTACATACATACATACGTAGGTACGTAAAGATCATTCGCGAGTCTTTGACAAATCTTTGACGAATTAGCAGCTTGGTCGCGCATACATACGCATACATACGTATAGGCAAAAAGCTGTTAGCCACGCATAGAGATAAACGAATAAAGTTCTCTCTTGGAGGGGATGAATTGGCAATTTCTACGCGTTTCTCGCTATTCGGTAAGGAATTTCAAAATAAATAGTATAAAAAGGATATACCGAACGGAAAAAGGAAACGTTTTCGGGATATAAAGTTGTCGCTTTTAATACATTCGTGCTAAAAGATCGCGTTACGAATCTACTAATTTAATACGCATCTGTACGATGCCTTCTGACCCTGCAGTGGCAGAATCTCGAACACGAATCAAAGATTGAAAAATCTTGTTTCTAACAAATTTTAGTTAAAACTTTAGTTAAACTATTCGATCATATCGCAACACGAAAGTCGAATTGAAAGAAATAATTGAATATTCGAATCTTATACCTCCCCTCTTCTCTCTTGCTACATATATATCATCGCTACCACCCTCCACCTTCCCACGCTTCTAGTCATTCGCAACGCATTACGCATTTAGAATCTCAACCACATCGAAAAGAAGCGAACGTACGGGATATAGCGATGGCAATGGACAAAATATCGATGCTCCTAGATACAAAGATCTCGATTGTGCGAACGAACGACGAAGTAGTCGAATCGAAACGATAAGAATAAACTGAAGGAAAATGAAGCGGGGCGAGAAGCGGTGAAGGAAGGAGAGGAGATGCGATGTGATGCTTTGTGAGGAGAGAAGAAGAGAGGAGAGGAGAGGAGAGGAGAGGAGAGGAGAAACAATGCGAAACGATGGGATGCGGGACGAGGCGCGACGGAGGCAAAGAGCGGCTCGAAGAGGCGCGGCGAGGCGAGGCGAGACGAAACGAAGCGATCGCGGGTTAAAACGATGAAAGCGATCGCTGTTTCAGAGGGATGGGTGAAGGCAGACGTGAGCTTCACGTTAAAGAAATGGGTAGAAGATCTTCGATTGAATCACGCGATACAGGTATCTTGCAGCACCTGCTCGATCGATCGAGATACCGCACCCGTATCCGTTGAACAAACTTTGAAACCTTTTCTCGTGATGCATACGTCGCCGTTGCCGCAGAAGAACAGGCCGAAGAGAAATTCCAACTGTCTGCCGGAAATGAAGGAGTGCTGCAGAGACGAACTCTATATTAATTTCGAAGACATCGGTTGGAGCGATTGGATTCTTCATCCTAGCGGATATCATGCATACTTTTGTCGTGGATCTTGCTCTTCCGCAGCTTCGTTGACCATTAGTGGATCTGCCTACAGTAATGTAATCAGGGTAGGCATCTGTTTTCTCTTTCCATTGCTCTTTTACTTTTACCATCTATTTGCAACCTATCCGCGAAGGAGAAATATCGATAACGCGTTATCGTTTATGCACCTGTAAATAACCGTTGTTAATTCACCTTGCTTTTCTCGTTTCAGAGATTATTGGCTAAAAATGGTAACGCGATATATCGTAAAGGCGAAATCGTTCCATGCTGTTCACCTACTCAGTTATCGCCAATTCAATTACTCTATGTTGATTCGAACAACACGATCACGCAAAAGACGTTACCGAACATGGTAGTCGAAGCCTGTGGTTGTATGTAATTAGCAGATATTATCCAAATCCTGCCATAAGTATGTATCTTTTCGATTCAAATTCGTACTTCTATCGCATCGTTCTTTTATTATCCAAGACAAGTTCATTGCGAACAAACTTGCGTACGATAAAGAAGAAGAAGAAGAAGAAGAAGAAGAAGAAGAAGAAGAAGAAGAAGAGGAAGAAGAAGAAGAAGAAGAAGAAGAAAAAGTCTATGTGCACGAATATACATGCATACATACATACATATTTTCAAATATCTACGCAATTAGTTCTTGTACACATGTTTATGTACACGGAAATTTACTCTTAATTCTCCGAACACGATGTTCCTTTAGTAAATCACATACAATGTTGCGTAATGTCGATCGAACGAATATTGTTTGCATATTAAGTGGTGTAAATGATCGAAACAGTATTCATTTTCTAGCCGCATTCGCCGCTAGCATTAAAGCCGTGCGTTTAGAGTAGTTATTCAACCCGAACGCGTACGTTGATAGAATGTATTTATTGTTAAATCGAATTCGTAATCATATATATACATAATCAAATAGACAAATGACCGACGCGAACGATTGAGCTTGCCTCTGTTTGTGGCCGGTTCATCAGTTGACTAATTGATACGTCGCCTTTTTGCAAGAATGCGACATTTTTAAAATTATTTTCATTTATTCTGCTACCCCTGTGTTTACGTGATTGGACAGTCGAATTGAATGTAGCATTATTCCATAATATCATTATTCCATAGCATTAAACCGCTCCCCCTATAATATCGTGTAAGACTCGTGGTGTGTAGGTAGAGGGCCCAACGTAAACTATACTGGTCAGGCTTGTGATTAATTTTCGTCGATATCTTTCTGACTCGGTTACGCGTTATTCTCTGCCGTGACCAACTGTGTCGTTGATTATGGCACGCGCTATCGGAACTTAAATCGTGAAACAAGGGGTTAATATCGATCATTCGTTCCATGTACATGACATTATCGACTATTGACCCATTGACTACGAGCTGCTCTCCTTATTCCTATTTCTATTATCGTTATTATTACTGTTATAATACTTTTATTATTATTATAATAATAGTATAATTAGTCACTATACCACCTTATTTTGCATTGACAATGAGTCGATAGCATTGCGAGTGACACGAAAATGATAAAAGAGTTTTAGCACGGACGAGGTATACGTTATTACGCTGTATCCGCGTTGTTGCATCTTTCACGGTCTGCCGACAAAATTGAGGGACATGCGTAATAGAAATTTATCTACACTGCTCCAAAATATCGACCGCATTTTTTTACTATATATTTTAATATTATGAAAATACGATAAAGAATAACTCATCGTGTAAATACTTAAATTCGATAAAGTACGATAACGAGTAGTACGTTTGTTTAATCTCGTCTGTGCACTTTCTTTGGCAATTGAACTTGACTCGATATCGTTCCACGGTCAGTCTTGTGTTCGGTAGTCGCATCCAACACATCCATCTATCCAAGTGTTCCTCCTTTGATACCTTGTGCGTACAATAGTCTCAAATTCGAGTATATATACTCGTGTAACAGTACATGTATGCGAAAAGAACACGCATACACCGGCATGTGTACCAACATACTGTACGTATCTGTCGAGAATGATCAAGCGTGATGTTGAATTTAATTGCAATTCCAATTCGATCCCAACACGTTCCGATCACTGCGAATAATACTTTCCTGGATAATTTTCTTCACCTTTCGGAAATACTGAACGATAAGTACTACATTGAATAAAAAGTTGCGGAAACAGGTTATTACGGATTTCTGGTATTAAGACAAAGATAAAAATCGGATTATTTCTTTTGTTATTTAAAATAAATAATATTTATTATATTCCCGAGTTGTATGAATATATTGATAATTGCTTTTTAAATATACCATAGACTACTGCTTCTTGTTATTACGTTTATTTACAAATTCGTTACATCGTGTATGTTGGAAAAATTATGAAAACATAGAAAAATAAAATTTAATATTTCTTGTTCGTGTGATAAATCTTGAAACAATGGTCCTTACATAAAGGAATTCTACAGGTATTTGCATATACATAACTTGTCGGCTCGTTTTCCATGCCCTTTACAAACTTTCCAATGCTAACCAGAAGAGGTATCTAGTTGAAATACAAATTTTACCGCCTGCGATTAGCGCCATCTATGATTTTGGACCCGATACACAGAAAAATAATAGGAACACAGAGTAGGCGAGGAAATCGTCGAAGAGCTCGCCACGTGACAGACAAGGACAGAGAGGGGATAGAAAAAGATAGAAGGGCTCCGACAGAGGAGAGTTAATAAATTACTCAATTTCCGTAATTAATTTATGTACTTTTATAATTTCATTGTAAAGCTGAAACTTTAGGCAATATTTTTATATAATTTTCGTAAAGAATTTAACGCTAATTTGTTAGTTATTAATTATCGTTTGATGGCGTCCATGATTTCGTAACTACCGCAAACGGCCGCGATCTTCCGTGAAAATATTTAATACTAAATGAAAGTAGAAGCAAAATGTGAACAAAAGTGATATGTGAAGACGCCCCAGGATGTCGTTTATATAATCCGTGCATGAAGTTCATAAATTGATTACGCAGAAGATGGTAATTAATGAAAAACCAATGGCGTCTTCGACAACAATTCAAACACTGCGTAGAATAATCATCAATAATTAATTAATTAGGGACAAATTTATATCGAAAAATATATTGGAAAGTTTTTGAAGGATCTGCCTTTACGATGCAATTATAAAAGTTCACAAATTAACCACAGATATTGAGTAACTTATTAATTTCCCACTGCCGAATTGGTTTATTAAGAAGCATCAAGAGCACATAACCAGAGTTAGTAACCTATTCAAAGAAAATCAGTGTCATCTATGATTTTGAACTCGAAGCTCGGATTAGGTAGAAAGAACATAGATTGCGCCTGGAGGTCGCCTAAATACACGTGACGTAGTGGACGAAATAAATAAAACAATAAAACGACATAAATAACTAACATAAATTCTTGTCCCTTCTTCTTATTCACTTAAGGATCCCATAAAGTTTTCTACATTCTTTAATAAATTCAGCCCAAACAGCGGTTTTAATTAGACAATCAGCATTCATTTCTTTACCTGGCAGACGACAAATAAACAAACGTACGCCTCTACAAGGCAATTGTAAAATAATTCTGTGATTTATAAATTAATCACAGAAATTAAGTGATTTGTTAATTTTTCTCCAAGTGAATAGGAGAGTTCATATGAAATGAGAAAAAATTGCAAACAAACGCCGGAAGCATTGTTGTGTCCATGCAGGTGTGCCTGCATCACACAAAAGAATGTAAGTCTTTGTATTAACATAATCTTCAGTTGTAATTAAATAGTGTAAGTTATGAGCCATTGTTTTTCCACCCTTTATTAGTGATAGCAGAACATGGTTGTGAAAAGACAATATTCCATTGAAATAAACAGGCACGTGCAACGGTGGAAAAATATTGGACTCATGGAATATCACCAACATAGAACCGTTAGATGCCAAGAATTATACTTTATAGCGAGAAAAAATTGAAGCAGTAATACAAATATATAAGGTATGATATGTCTATTAGATTCTAGGTCAGCTAACCATATGACATACAACATAGAAACTTTTGATGGTCAAATAAAGATTTAAAATTGATTTATTTATTTAAGATTTATTTACTCAAAATGGAAATGGTTTAGGCAGACCAAAAGAAATAAAATTAATTTAGGTGATGGTCTCTTATAACAACAAGATATAGAATATACACTGAGATTGAAAGGTATGTTGTATTCCTGATTTAAATAGATATTAATATCAGTGATCAAAGTGAATGATCATTGCCAATGATTTAAATTTTAGAATGATGGAGCCGAGGTATATAAAGAAAGGAAGAGAGGCTTGAATGAAAGCAGTGAGAAGAGGAAATGATCTCACAGATACAGGAGAAGGTGGTAAAAGCATATATGAAGAACCATTTAACGTGAGACTATATTTAAAAACAAAATGAATTCCTTTCTTATTCAAAAATGGTTATTGGATACATGTGTTTTAGGACGAATTTCATACAAGATTACGTTTTTGTGGACGAGATTTAATTGCTATAGCTAATGCTGGAAAAGATGACAATGATTCGCAATTCTTCTTTACTCTTGGTTCTACACCAGAATTGCAGAATAAACATAGAATATTTGGTAGAGTTACTGGTGAATCTATATATAGTATGTTTAAACTCGAAGAAGCACTTGTAGATGAGGTAAATTTAATGTTTGTAAGAATATATATCAAGAATTCATATAAATATAATATTTCCTCTGTTTTGTAGAATGATAAACCACTTTATCCTCCAAGATTGATAAAAACTATAATATTGAACAACCCATTTTCTGATATTATACCAAGAATAATAGGTACAGGAAAGTGAAGAAGTAAAGGACAGTTTAAAAACTAAAACAGCAGCAGTATTATTCTTTGCAATGTAAGATTTTGTTACAGAGATTTCAATCCTTTATCACTTGGTGAACAAGCAGAGCAGGATTAAGAAGAATCTGTGATATTAAATAAAATGTTTAGTGGTAAGGGCAAATCAACTCATGATCATTTAACTGATCCGAAATTAAGCTCACAACCAGCTGTTAAACCACCTGGACTTGCAAATAAAAAAAGAAAGGAAGACCATAGTAGCGATTGGAAAAGTGACGACGAAGTAGAAACTCAAGAAGAATTAGAAGTTGCAGATCAAGAGAAAGAGTTAGTTTATTGTTTACATTATAACTATGTTATAGAAAGTAGGATTTTTCATTGACTGTCTTTTATATTTATATTTTCAGAGCAATGAAGAAAAGAATAAAAAATACATTGAGAGATACAGAAAAGGAATCGAAGAAAGTACAAAATTATAAAATAGATGATGTTGAAGATGATAAGGGTATAAAGGAAAATGAATAGGGAATAAAGAACTCCTTATGAGGTTTAGCACGAGAGAAGGCCGAGGAGATGCACGATAAAAGATATCAAGAATTATTAGGATAACTCATGTATTCGAATAGAATTATTTATCATATGTCTATGAATATTGTACATATATATATGGTCATTATAATGATAATTATTTTGTGATATGTATTACGAAACATCTTTTTCTCGC